GTATACCGCGAGCTATAGCTCGCGGTATACTGAGCTTAGGGTGATGGGAGGACGCTAGTTTGTGTCCTCCCGTTACCCTAAGGAGAACTATGGGGAAAAGCCCTAACCCCATAGTTCTCCTTTATTGTTTTGACAAGATTCTTCATACAAAAGTTCGTATAACATTCTTACCGCGTATACCCAGCCAAAGACTGTTGAGCGGTTGTGATACTATCAAGAGATAAAGTGGTAGGCCTAAAGACAAGCCATTTGTTTTCACTAAGGATTTAAAATAACTAAAATATTTAGCTTTGTGTCAGTTTAATTTATTGATGCCTAATAGGAATGACCTAGAATTTCCTGTGTCCTACGGGATAGAAAAGCATCATCTAAACCAACAGAAGAAAGGAAATGTATACAACAGCAGGGTAGTATACCTAAATGATTCCAGCAATTTAATAACTAAGGTTTCTGTATCTAGCTTAAAATACAAATACATTAAAGTGACAATAAACTCAGGGGTTAAATTATAAAAATACATTTAAAGGAGAACTATGGGGTAAGTGTTTTTCCCCATAGTTCTCTTAAGGGTCACGGGATGACATAAACTAGCATCCTCCCATCACCCAAAGCTCAGTATATCGCAAGCTACAGCTCGCGGTATACTGAGACCGCCGCAGCTGGGACAGATCCAGACATTACTGTCGAGATTCACCCAGCTGCGTGAGTGACAGCTGGCACTGCCTATCTAGAGGCAGAGCCAGCTGTACCCGCCCCCTCCCCAGCCCGTTCCGCCAGTCAGCGCTGGAGGATCGGAGAGGGGAGGGGGGAATCCCTGCAGGGAGCCGTGAGTGACAGTCACAGCCCTCGGCAGGGAGATGATCGAGAAGTGAGCGAGCGACGGTATGTGTTACCTCACTTCACGATCTATTGAGTCGACATGTGACAGTTTCATTGTCACACGTCGGCTCAAACCATGAGGTTGAGTGATTTTCACTCACCTCATAGTTCTCCTTTAAGTACCTTAACTATTAACCAAAAAGTATCTTATTTGTGTATCACTCAGCTGTAGATCCTCAAATAATCTCTGAACTGATGCTGACACTATCCTTCCTTCCGGAGTGTGGCTACTTTTGTTCCGCATGGTCCCTGTGTTTGGTAGCCACCGCTCAAAGCTCTCTACATGTCAGGCACATAGTGTATTTTTGGGAGGAGAGGTGGGGGATACCACCAAGAGACTATCATGAGATAACAACATCACAAGCTCTTAGGTAAACCTAGTCAAAAGCTGATCTAATGCTTCACAACTTAAAAGTGCCATCCCTATTCAATCTCCTTTAGATCTAACAAAACTAGGCAGTAAAAACCCTACTCAGTTTTCTAACTAGTTATATAGGCTCTCATACTACATATTTGGTGGTAGATATGTGGTTTGACTAATGGGATTGTGAAGTGTATGGCCAGCTGTACAGAAGAGATATTTTCCTTCACACTGCTAGCCAGTTTTGCCATTCACTTAGTGTGGCTGATAACATATTATGAGAGGTGAAATACAAGATTATTCCTTTTTATTGTAATGAATTACCTACTTGTAGATTCATATAATAAAGGACTATTTCTATGGTGGAATTAGCATGAGGTTCCTGGAAACACCAGCTTTACCTGCTTGGTTATTTACAGTGAACAGGGCTAGCCTAAAATTATTATTTTACTTGAATAGAGTTCAGTGTTCATGCTAACATGTTTGACGCTGGCCTTTTCAATTGTTTCTTTTGGGTTGCCCTGCTTGGCCCGTCTGTCTGTCTGGTTTGTGCTCTAGTTACGGAAGCAATCACACACTTCAATTGCCAAAAAAGCTTTGGGATTCTGTTATCTGTATTCATGATTCAAGAACTCTAAAATTGCCTGCCTTGCAAATTCCTCTTCTTATTTTCAACAGTTATGCCTGCTTGTTATGTCTGTGTCTCATGCTTTGTCCTGATAACTTATCTTTAGGCTAATGTTGAAGAAAACATAAAAAAATATTTAACTGTTGCGTGTTTAGTGTTTATTAACTGTTGCATGTAGTTGACAACCCTTGTCATCAAAATCAGTATAACTCTCTCTGAAAAAACAAAGGTACCCATAGATCAGCGCTTGACAAATGTATTATATCTAGTTCCTAAATAGGAAAAAATCTCTTCTTCTATTTATCCTATGACAGAAATCAGTGTGGATTGAACATAGGATGAACATCACCACTAGAAATTAGATTACACAAAACCACCTCCTCGGTATTGGCTACCTTGTCATGCAACATGACCACCCATGGTAGATCTAAGCACTAGATTACACATCACCACCACCACCCTCATCTATAGTAATACTATATATACTATAATGGCACTTACTGTATGGTACCTAGGCAATCAGCATTGAAGGAGGTTGCACAAGCTTCAAAATGTACCAGCTGTGATTACTTTTTTTCCCCTCCTCTGATCACCCCTGTATATGTTTGACAAAATTCAGCAAAAGAACTGTTGGTGGATGAAGTGCAGAGGATACTGAAAGTTGCCAGAAGACTCACTATAGTTCAGGAAACAAAAAACCATCTTATTACAAAAGGGTGTCATCATTCAGATGTGCCTAGGGTAGCATGATTTTTAAATACAGCTTTGATCTATACTGAGCTACAGCACCAAACATTGTAATTGTGCTCCAATTTGCGCAATGCAATATCCTTCAGGATTCAGGACACCATGCCTCAGTGCACCACGTTACTCTTCTGAAATAGAGGGTGGGTAGTGATTGTCATACTTCCTCCAGAATTAGATTTAGTATGTAGTAATGCATGTGATAGGAGGGTGAAAGCTGTCACTTCACAAGGGAGACATCTCCCAAAGGCCATCTTACCTACAGCCCCATTCTGCTTAAAGTGTATTAAAACTAGGTGTGAACCCAGCCGAAATCTGTTTCTTTGGTGAAGGCCTTTGTGCAGATTCCAGGCTACTCTGAGCAGTTTAAAAGGGAAACTAGAGTGTCAGACTAGAGTGTAGAGGGACAGACTGAGCTTCCTCTTATTACCTTGCAATGCTTCTAAGTCTTTAACCCGTGGTTTGGACAGACAGTGTTCAAATCTAGTTCACAACTGATAATGAAATCTGCCAGCACAGTAAAGACAGGGTTAATTAGAGTAAACATAACTTCCCACAGCCCCTTCTTTACTATTACATAGGGGGGAACTTAGAAAGGATTTTTTTAAGCAAGTATAAAGGACTGGGAACATATAACAAACATAAAATAGGTGTTATCCAAATTTGGCTGCAAACATAGAACTACAGTAATACCTTGGTAAGCAATAAGAGCAACATTTTGTAGAAAAGCACCACCCGAATAAGGCTGTAGCAGTACGAGCGATGAGTCTGTTTAACGACAATGCAATGTCACATTGGATAGATTCCTTGCTAAGGTTTCACGAAATGAAAAAGATTCAGTTGAGCCAAGAGATAGCAGTGATTCCGTTAGTGATAGTGAAAGTTGTCCTTCGCAATAATCCTCCTATCTCTTGTCTCCCTCACACCAGCCACGAAGGTACCTGTAATTGGTTTATTTGTCTTTATATTTTGTATTATATTATAGTAGAGTACTGTATTGTAATCATTTTTATATGAATATTTTTGGGTTGTGGAACGAATCATCTGAATTTCCATTATTTCCTATGGGGAAATTCACTTTGATATACCAGCGCTTTGATTACAAGCATGCTTCCGTAACAAATTATGCTCGTAAACCAAGGTATTACTGTACACTGTAAAAGGGGAAAAAGCTGTGATGCAGTGACGCAGACACATGTATAGCTAGGTGATGCCCACTCTGTCCACACTGCAAAGGGAAACTATCAGGAGATACCTGGTTCTAAAGCAGGTGATAGATGTCCAATGGCTTTCTGAGCAAGCACAGGCAGTGGCAGGTGGATACATATGAGATTAAAGCTTTTGGGATGAAGGTTTTACATAAATGAATAACAGCAAGAAACCCCATGATTTTCAGTGGCCCTTGTTCACAACTGAGCAGAAAAACACCAGCAAGAAAACGCCAAACACCCGAAAAGGTACATAAGCTTCTTTGGGCAGTTAAAAGCGTGTTTTTGCCCCATAGACTTCAATGTAAATGCAAAAAAACACACAGCAGTTGCATGTTGCACGTTTTTGTGAGTGTTTTTTGCGCGCGTTCTCCCATTGCCCTCAATGTTTCATGGGCTGCCAGTCAAAACGTGGGTCTTCATGTACGCGTGTACAAACACGAATCAAAATGTGCAAAACACGCATAAATGCGAAAATAACCGCACGCTGCTCATGTACGTACAAACACACAAAAACTGTGCCGCTTAGGTGAAAACCCGGCCTTAAGGATTGGTAAGCTGCAATATATAAAATTTTTCCTTTTGGTTTAGACATAGTTTAAGCAGTCTAAACTGGTGTTGTGGCTACTATGTGAGTGCATTGGGTTTATGTAGCTTTTTTTAAAAGGAGTTTTAAAGAATAACACACACTTGGAGCCCCTTTTTTCAATGCTGGGGAGATTAGGGGTTATTCAGTTATTCAAGGGTGAAGAGTTTGGAGAAGGCAGAAGTGAACAATCTAGGACAACATAGCTGAACTGGAAATAGAGCTGATTTGGAGAATATTTCCAAATCAGCTATGCTGTCCTAGATTGTTCACTATGCCTGCCTTCTCCAAACTCTTCATCCTTTTGTAAATAACCCTGTAAATGTTTGTAAAGATGGCAGATCGAAGGAGGAATATAAACATATAAAGCATTTGAGATCTTTGCATACATAAGGGTCATTCACCTCTGGTGAGTTGTCCATGAGAGCACTGGTGTGGGGCAACACATTTGTTTGGAAAGAATTTCACTTGTTCTGTTTTAAGATAAAAAAAGAAGACAGAACACTTAAAAATTGGAAGACTTTTGTTTTATTTGGACTTTTATAATATATATTTATTTTTAATGTAATGGTCTTTATTTTCTTTTCATTTTAGGCTTGTTCCCTGCAATCTTAAACTTAGCCAGCAAAGCAGACATCAGCACCAATGCCACCTGCGGTGAAATGGGACCGGAAATGTTTTGCAAACTTGTGGAACATGTGCCAGGGAGAATAGACCGAAACCCACAATGTCGAATCTGTGACCAGAACAGTGTTAACGCAAAGGGTAACCTCTTCTTTTTCAATTATTATTCAGTCTGCTTGTTTGTAATTGTTTGTGATTAATTTTTAATGAATCATAGTGGGGAATAACTTGTAGTACTTGTAGTCATTTCTCACTAATATTTCTTTGTTTACTTTTATCGGGTTAATTTCTATGTTTCTACAATAGTGAGCCTGTTCTTCTTTTCAGAGCGTCACCCAATCACCAATGCTATTGATGGAACGAATGACTGGTGGCAGAGTCCAAGCATACAGAATGGCAGGCTGTACCACTGGATCACCCTCACACTGGATTTAAAACAAGTAACGATAATATTGTGGCAATTCCTTTTTTAAACAAATGTATTTAATAAGTCTATGTGTCAACAAGCATTACATTTACCTTTTTCATTACATGTACATGTTTTCTAACTTTGATGAGGAATTCTAGATGTTTTCTATGTTGTTGATCATAAAAGAACACCAATAAAATTTTTTTGTAGTTTATGTATAATATAATGATATAATCTTAATATCTCTTGGAAACTCTGAGCAGGGGCAGAAGATGCTAAGGCATCTTACAGGAGGGGGAAAACACAGGGAAGGCCTTTCTAGTTCAGTGATGCTCATGCATTGTACATTAAATAGGCTGGAGGGTGGCATGTTAAATGGGAAGATGCAGAGCTGAAGGCTGTAAAAAGCTTTGACTCTATAGGGTGTATTTCTAAACCATTCGCATAGGAAACAGCTCTGTGAACGGGATTTGCAATGCATTATAGCCACTAGATGATGCCGAGGAGCATTGCAATTTCATATGCTCCTTGGTTACATATACTGGCCATAATGTAGTGTGAATCTTGTTCAGAGAGCTGTTTGTTGTGTGAATGCCTTGAAAATACACCTGTCAAGTCCAGTGGAAGGAAATAAATACTTGGTGTTGGTGATCGGAGGGATGAAAATAAATGCCTAGTGTTGGTGGTCAGTGGGAGGAAAGAAATACATGGTGTTGGTGTTTAGTGGGAGAAAAGAAATGCTTGGGGTTGGTGGTCAATGGGAGGAAAAAAATGTCTGGCATCAGTGTCCATGGGAGGAACGAATGCCTTGATCATAGTGGTCAGCAGGCATAAGAATGCCCTAGCATTGGAGCCGGTGGGTAGAAAAAACACTGGTGCTCAGTTGCATGTGAACATATAAACCATTGGTGCTCAGTGGCATAGGAAAAAAAGAAATATTGGTAGAACTATGCAGACACTTCTAGGCCAGAGATCACTGTGCCCGACAATGCCAGCATGAATCCAGAGCTAGGTGCTGTAATGGGTGCTCCAGCATTCACATCCAGGTCATGGCACAGGCCTGCTAGACCCTGAGATTTTGTTGAAAATATCTGTGCACAGATATGGTCAAGGCTATTCACTAAAGGGTGAAGAGTTTGGAGAAGGCAGGAGAAGTGAACAATCTAGGACAAAATAGCTGATTTGGAAAAATTATACAATTCAGCTAACTTTCCAGTTCAGCTATGTTGTCCTAGTTTGTCCATTGCTCCTGCCTTCTCCAAACTCTTCACCCTTTTGTGAATAGCCCTGACACATTTATAACTCAATCATTTGGTTATGACTTGAAAGGGAATCATAATAAAACTTTGGTATATTTGTAGAAGTGCAAGGTAAAGATTTTAACAGCCAACACATTTTAAGGTCTGTCAAAGATTAGTGTAGGACCTCTCTTGAAAACGCACCTTGATTGAATATGTGACTGCCACGTTTATGTGAAACGTATGCAGCACTTGGTCTTTTTTAAAATCCTGGAAACAGTTTTGGGATCCTTTGAAGTTTGAAAAAACTGAATGTTGGACAGTTTTATTTTATGCACATGAAAAAAGTTCACGTTTGCCTGTTCCGATAACTGATTTCTCTACCCATGTGTTTCCATCTAAACAAATCTTCAGAGGAAAATCTTTTTGATTAGCTTTATACACAACACAAAACTAATCTTTTAGCCTTCAAGATCAACAGTTTGTTTCAGTACAAATATGCGAACTTCGAATGGATCTTTGGAGTGATGTTGTGAAATTACTAGACCCTGACAGAAAGGAATACCTTCCGGCCAGAGAAAGCAAGTCTGGCTATTCAGTGTCAGGTAGCTTTAATGCTTTGATCTGAATTACAGAGCAGCTCTAAGCACCTTCTGGAGCCATCTCTTATATGGAGACTGCTGGTTTCAGCTGGTAGCACACTATAGGAAGCATGCAAAATGACAATAAAGGTATAATGAGTCAGATAAATAGTAGATGTAATATAATTAACATGTTAACATAGTTCCAAGCAGCACTCTGTGGTAGTCTCCCAGTTGTGCTCCTGCGTTGTGTCTTGAGTCGAATTTATACTTCTTTCTCTCCAAGGACAGCTACCCTGTGCCCTCCCCTACCTGCCAAACACCCATTTTTATCCTTTGACTTTCAGACTGATTTAAATTATGCAAGTTCTGTGGCCAATTCATTCTGTGCCTTATCTGAATTTATCCAGCAACAGAATATGTGATTATATTAGTATTATCACAGTCATTATTAGCAAGCTAATCATGTTTCATCCACAGTATTTTTGCTGTATGACCATGAACATTTGCAGTAGCAATTCACATGATTATTGTCTATTAATTATTTATGAGTTGTGTAGTGAATCATTTAGCCACCAGCAGATTACACTGCAACATCAGTTACAGCGACTAATTTAAAGGTTAGTTAATATTTGAAGAACTTGCAGAGATTTACATTTTAATCCCTTAGGAACAATTTATCTTGCACAAATATTGGCACTGACCTGCAATAAAAGGAGCTGACCTGGAAAACATACTTCTATGGGAAACTGAAGCAGATTTACATACTGTTTAATTTATATTTTGTTGCTCAATGTTTTTAAATAACTAATTGTTTTGAGGATAAAAAAGATATACTAAATAGGGAAGGATTTACTCATTTGATGTACTTTGTAATATAGACAACACACAGTGTGTTACCATATTTTTTTGAAATAGCCAAATGTGTTGGGCAGCAAATACCAAATACAGTATGTCTCAATAAGGTTTAGTATGGGTATTTGAGATGTGTTTAGCATACCTTTAATGTGTGTTGTCATGTGTTTGCCATGTGTATACCATGTGCTTTCCCTGTATTCACAATAAGGAATAAATACAAAGCACAAACTGGTGTCAATTTGGACCTAAACCATATTTAACCCCTTAAGGACCCTTTCACTACCAAGGCCTTTGTTTCGTTTTTTTCACACCTGATATGATCCACATTTTAGACCTGAAAATTACTTTAAACCCCAAAACATTATATATTTTCTCAAAGACCCTGTAGAAAAAATGGCGGCAGTTGCAAATTTTTATGTTGCACAATATTAGCGCAACTCTTTATCAAACCCAAAAATGTAGTAAGAAATGCACTTTAGTGCCCCAAAACACCATACAAACCCATTTTTTTCTAAAATATAAAAAATGAGGTTACGAGTAAAGAGATACACAACATGTGAGGTATAAAAATTGTTTGCGTCTGTGAAACAGCGACAAAATTCAGTACCCCAAAAAGTCCAAAGAGGACACTTTAAAAGCCCCTACAGGACATCAGCTTAAAAAAAATGTGTAAATACTTATTGCTCTCACTCTAGTGTGCGCAGCGATAACCAACACGTGTAGTGCGATCGGCGTTTTGTATGTAGGCGCACCCGACACGTGTTTACGTGAATACGTGTGTGCTTGCTGGGGACTTTAACATTTTTTACATTATTTTTGCATTTATAATTAATATTTATAATTATTAATTACAGTTATTACATTTATAATAATATTATTCATACTAAACTCAGGAGTTAAATGCTAAAAATGCCTTCCATTTCCTTAACAAGTAACAAAAATGTATCTTATTTGTGTATCACTCGGCTGTAGATCCTCAAATCATTTCTGAATTGGTACTGACACTGTCCTTCCTTCTGGAGTGTGGCTACTTTTGTTCCCCATGGTCCCTGTGTGTGTTTCAAAGTAGCCACCGCTCCAAGCTCACTCCTGTGACAGACTACAATCTCAGGTTAGGTTTACTCATTTGTATTGGGATCAAAGTCTATTATGGGCGCAAGCTTGGAGTGGTGGCTACTTTACAAAATGTAAACTGATATCAAAATACCATGTACACTAGCCCTAAGGCTTTTGGTTTAATACTATTAATTGATATACAGGTGAAACTCGAATAATTAGAATATCATGCAAAAGTAATTGCAGTAAGTGCTGCAAAAGGGGCCCAAACCAAGTACTGAGTACATATGCATGCTTGTACTTTTCAGAGGTCCGATATTGTTCTATGTACAATCCTTGTTTTATTGATTGCATGTAATAATCTACTTTTTTGAGGTTGTAGATTTGGGGTTCTTGGGGTTTTCATGAGCTGTAAGCCATAATCATCACAATGATGACAAATCACGGCTTGAATTATCTTGCTTTGCATGTAATGAGTCTATCTCATATATTAGTTTCACCTTTTAAGTTGCATTAGTGAAATAAATGAACTTTGCACGATATTCTAATTATTCGAGTTTCACCTGTATTTTAGATAATAGGTGTTAAAAAGCATTGTGTGAAAAAAATTCTGACATTTGTAGGCTCCCATTGCTGGCATCTTTCTGAAAGCAACATTTGCATGGTTGGGTTTGTCTTTAATATTTTTTAAACATAGACCCAAAACATGTATGCCAAAGTATCAACTTGAAAGCAAGGGAACTAGAACATTTTCTAGGGGGAGTCCAGCATTGAACACCCACATATTCCTCTAATGCATGCCTTCTCGTGACTCCTTTTAGGCCGAGGAAATTTTTACGTGACCCCAGCATTGAGAGCTCCACTCCTGGAAAAAAAAAACCTTCCTGCACGCACAGCTCAGGGAGGTACCTGTGGCAATGGGGGGGTCTGCGACCTTAACAATTACACTTCACATGTTAAACTATAGTAAAAAAAAAACTTTTTTTCAATAACGAATCAAGATCAAACACATATACATTGCCCACAAAGTATTGCTTTGCGTTTTTGCCCGAGCACTTACAATCATCATGTTTCTGAACAACTGCTTCCAAGACTCTCAGCTCAGCTTCCCTGAACTTCCTGTCCAGTACAAGATCACAAAGGACAGAGCAGACTCCAGCAACTGTTCATCTACTAGCTTGGAGAAGAGAGGAGGGAGGTGAGGGGGCAAGAGGGGAGGGAAGGAGCTTGATTTGCTATGTCTGTGTGTTTATGGAGAAACACACAGCTTACTAGCACACAAGGGTGACTGCATAGCA